TAACACAAGGCTGAATTCTTAAACTGTCATTCTTATATCATTTCAATCCAATTACACGTATATCAGTAGGACAGTCTATAAATGACTGTAGAGACTTATCATCATCAACTTACAGTTTGCTGGTGATACTGTACACCTAGACTATGAGAAGTTACCCCTGATACTGGAAAATATGAAAAGAATACCGGTGTTTGATTATAGGTGTCTGTGTTCTATCTCATGAGTAAAGCAGTATAATATGGCGATTGCTGTTGAGGTTACGCATAAAGTGTTAGGTGAGGAGGGTAAGTTAGTCTTCAAGGTTGGGAAGCTGAATAGGTTGAGATGGCTATAACACGTGATGGCATACCAAGCCATCGCCTTCCTCGAGGGATAATGTTAGTCAGCACATGTTAAGGTTCAAGATGTGTTTGGGTCGGTCAAATGAAAAGCTGGTATTGGTTCATAAAATCGTTGACAGTCAGCTAGAAGAACTACTGGATATATGTCTGTAAATCTTTGTTTATGGCACAGATGCATTCACTCTGTGTAATCTCAGGTATCTATTCAACTCATGTTGTCACTATTTATTTTCCTTCCAATTTTCGCTCGTTAAACTTCCATTTAGTTTTATGTCTCTATCTTTGTGTGGTGCATGGAATGTAGTAAACTAAGCTGCTGGACTTCTTCGCGAAGTCGTACTGAAAGACAGGCAGAATGACACAGACCAGGCATAACTAAGTGCGAAACACTGAATAATGATCTCCAGAATGTCAACAAATGATAATTGCAGTTCTTAATCTTGTTCTTTGCTAAATGACAAATAGATACCTTTCAGTAACCTCTTCATACACCCGGGATTCGTCTCCTACTTTGCAAGTGTTTTTTGTGCTTTATCACTTTTGTGCTAAGCTTTAAGTTATTCAGCATATGCCGTTTTTGACTAAGGACCTAGATGATATTAGTTGAGTAAGGTTTCGGCCGTGCAAACACGAGTCCTATGCAGGTGATTGGTTGCATTATCATTTCCCAAATGGTATACAGCATACTGTATATTAGGGTAAATCTTCCGCCTTGCTTTCTGAAGGTTGTGTTCCTCAGGGTACTGTTATCTCTCCTTTTCTTTTTTCTCTCTCTTGTCTTACATGACTTTTCTCTTTCTAATGAGAGCAACTTCGTCAAATACGCTGGTGATCTGACCGTTTCACTTACTATCATGTCACAATGTGTCACCAGGAGGACTTTATTTTTGAGTTTATTTGTATATATACCATTGCGCATCGAGTTGCACTGCGATTCCACATGTAGCAGAAGATTATGAATACCTTGCTCTTGTCTTCTGCATAAGAAAGTTACTTCACAAGAACCGCTATATTTAACTCAGTTAGGAAAAATATGAATTTCTCCACTTCAGTGTTGTGAGTTAATTTGTGAACTGTGTAGGCCCCTAAAGTAATGCATTTGGCGTGCATGCTTCATAGTGAAATCAGGAGTGTGCATGCTGTACTAAATCTTCTGCGCTTTCTGTATGGATTCCATGTTCATGAAGTGACCATTTAACAACTGCTGAGTGTTGCATGTGATCCAGCTAAAATTATAACTGATAATTCCAAGAATTTCTGTCGTTTTCATCGGCAGCTGTTCACAGCCTATTGATTTTACACAAGTACAATACCCATTGCTCACTTTAATGTGGAGACATTAACTATGATTCCAGAAAAGTAGTACGTCAGTATGTGAATTTCATGAATCTGTAGATTGCATTCCATTCACTTAATGCTGAAACTAAACTATGAGGGAGCTGATATTTCCAAGAAGGATACAATACAAGGCTCATTTCTACAACTGTCGTCCTTATTTTAGTTCACTTTCATCATACATGTATTAACAAAATTGTGCGTCACTCACTTCAGGGACTTACCAGGGAAAAGTCTTGTCAACTTAGTGTATGCTAATGACATTGTCCACCTAGGTTGTGAGAAGTGACCATTGAAACTGGAAGATACGAAAAGACTACTGGTTTTTAATCGCAGTGTCTGTGCCTTTCCTTCTGTGTTAAGTAATCTAAAATGGTGAGTAATATTGGGGTGAAGCTTAGTGTTAAGTAGAAATGTGACTTCAAACGTTGTTTATAACACAGATGCATTCACTCTGTGTAATCTTACATATCTGAGCAACCATTGTGTTCTTTCCATATCACTGTTCGTTTTCCATGACATTTATGCTAATTAGAGTTCCATTTGACTTCTTTTTTCTCTACCTTTGTGTGCTACATGGAATGTGATAACTTAAACGGGTGCACTTGTTTGCAAGCTTCTCTGCTGAAAGTTAGTCTGTCAGAATGATCTATAGTCCAGGTATAATGAAATCCTAAAACGTGGATAAAAATAAGCAAAATGTCAACAAATGATAATCGCATTTTTTTATTCGGTTCTCGTCTAGCTGAAAAAGAGTTGTCTTGCAATAATTTCTCCTCCTACTCGAGATAACTTTTACACTCTGTTCCGTTACATCTCAAAAGTTGCACTTCTCCACCGAGTTCCATGTTACAACTCAGTCAGTCGGCTTCGTCACTGCAGCTGCCTAGTGTCACAACTCACTACAGTGTTAATTGGCACAAACAATTATGAATGCCGTTTCTTAAGCACTCAATGCATTTCCCAATTCCTTAAATTGTCCAGATAAAGTGCACTGAAGAAAAAATAAACCAAAAGTCAGTAACACGGACATAAGAATTAGTGCTAATAGAAGTGAATTAGATGAGTGATTTTTTTAAACCTTTAGTACGCATAACTGAAATACTCATATATCATTCACAAGATGCTTGTATCACAGAGGGCACTGAAACATAAACTAAGTCTGACATGAAATACCTTGAAAATGTTATTACTCCATAAAATGAGATACAATAATGTACAAGATGCTGCGAATTCAACACTGAAACATAAATACTGTTTTCGAACAAAGCAAATTATTACTGTTGCACCTCGCTGCAGTGTTATTCTGCTTATACCCTTATTATTGCCGTATCCTAAGTATTGCACTAATTTTCTCATTTCCTTGCACTGTGTAAATAGGGTGCAACGAAGAAGTAACAGTGAACTATGAGGAAGTAACGCCGACGCAAGAAATAGTAGCAGTCAAAAGAAATGAAATGAGTGGAAGACCTTGTAATAATACTAGTAATCTCCCTTATTCCAAAACAGTACTTGACTTATTTACCTATGCATTTTAACGTGTCTTCTAATTATCTTATTTTTGTCTTTGTAGACATTGCCTAAGATGCCGTTGTACGGATCGTCTGGAAGCAGTCTTTAATTTCATCTACCTTCCGAAAAGTTTGACGTACGAAAAGTCGAAATTTTACTGACTGGATTTTAGGTGCACCCTATAATTTTCACATGAAACACATTCTCAAGCATCCTCCTGCAACATAACTGCCTTCAGGCCTACAGGCAGCTTTTGACGACTATTCTTTACAAAATCAATACAGTTCAAGCCAAACAGAAACCGGGATCACGGCAAATGCAGCTACCTAGATCAAACGAAACAAATCAGCCAAACTGAAATCAACTAGACCGCCCAAAAGTCCTCAAGGTAAAGCTGGAGGCGCCACTTCAAACAGGGGATATGCCTTATCAACGCCCGGTTCCGGCAGTACTGTAACATGTAATTAACTGAACATTACCCATCTTCGTATTTGTTCGTTTCCAAAATTTTTGGTCGTGTCACATCTTGTTGTGTTCTATGAATATATTTTGTTTGATTTGTTAGATCAGGAATTTGAAACTTCCTGGTATAAATCAGCCTCTACTCTTACAATGAATCATCGATGTTTTCAGGCTATTATTCTTAATTGTACCCTGTCACTGTTCTCTATGCGTCCTAAGGAAGATTATATTATATCACTAAGAACTTTGAAGGCTGTCAGTAGGGTTAGATGCCTAACGCCGTTGCCAATATTTATTTTATGTCTTGCAAACAACAGGATAAAATCCTCTTGTCGGATAATGAATACCCTTTTACTTCGCAACTTCCTTTTTGTATCTCTTCCCGTTAATATAATATAATATATATATTTCCTATCTATGTAGGACACACTAGTTGTACAGGCATGGATAAGTATTATTTAAATTACATGAATTTGATTTATAGTGAAATTACATGGTTGCTGTCCTCTCTGACATCAGTTAGTGAGTACATTCTGATAGCTAGTCGTTCAATGGAGCACATAGAGAAATATAGAAATACTGTCTTCGCATTAACAAAAATACACAAGTATGTGTCGGATGAATTACAAATATTTGGGAAAAAAATAAAGCCTGAAGTCAATTCCTCCATTTAACTTTGTTGTGCGGTGCATCGCATCTTGTTCTTGTTTTATGTTCAAAGTGGGTATTAATTTAAAATGAGGGATTTATTTGTATGATTTTGACATTATTTTTATTACACGTAATACAAGATGTGAATTCAACTGAATGCAGATTAATATTGGTCATTGTCAAGCAGATTTGTTTTACTGCACTCAAGTCAGCCAGAGCCCGCCATTTGTCACTGCATGGTTGTTCCGTACGAGTAAGTTGATAAACACGTACAAAGCTATATAAAAGCCATTTTAGATCGTTGTGACTTCAATTGTTTCTCAGCTTCAGTCGGAATGTAGATCAATGCAACATGTACAACAAGGCAAATACAACAGAAACCGGATGAAATTTCAACAACACATCTCAGAACATTATCTAGTTTATTGTCATGTTTGCAGCGTTTATAGCACATTTATTTCCAACGACTGTGTCACCCTTTTCGCATCTGAATTCTGGTCGGATATGCAAGGTCATTCAGATTTGAGCTATGTGAGTTCAACTTGCCCCCCACTCTCTAACTGCTATAATGATTAACTAAGAAAAGGGTTCTGTCCACTTTTAATGAGAAATCATCGCGATAGTCTGAAAAGATACTAGAAATGAGAGACTTTGAATAAAACGTTTGAAAGACATTACAGATTGTCCAAAACAAAAGACATGTGCGCAAATACAAGCAATGGGAAATTTTACGGAGGGTGGTATTTCACTAGCACAAATTTCAAGCAGGCCGGCTATAGTGAGGAAGATAAATGTTGATGTAAACCTTGCAGTTATAACAAGGATGCGGGAAAACAACCCACGGGAAAGCTGTAACGGCAACTGGATTTGGTGGCGTTGACCGCTTGCTGGATATTCTACATGTCGTACCTCGTGGACCTTCGGAGAATGCTCACCGGAAGGATCTTGTCTTCAACTTGTGGGCGGCAAATATGGGAAACACTGTCGAACGTATGTCTAACTAAACGCGGGTTTACGTAAAACAACTATTCACTGGGCATTCCCTCCTGCTGACTCCACAATGCCTATCGTAGGATCCAGTCTACTTGACCAAAACGATAGTCGTAGATGTTCGTTGGCGTCGGTTCACAGGCTGTATCAGTCAATTCTCCATTGGAAGTATCACTTGCGTAGGTCAAAACTTGTAGCTGGTTTAGAAAGAAGACAACGGTCGGTCCAACTTTTCAGTCAACTGTCGACGAGCACTCAAAGCCTAATTGTTCATCGAACGATCTGCCGTGCATAACTAACGACCTTATGCATTACATTGCAGCCGTATGATAACCCGCGGCCAATAACCTTAAGTCGGGTAGAATTTGAGTCTCTAATTCAACCACAATCCTAATCTTTCCTCAGACCCAATATTAACCTAATCCTAATCTTTCCCTTATATGTCCATGACCTAACCCTAACCACAATCTTTTCCGAACCCAATTCAAAACTAACTAGATGTCGTGCTTAAGTTCCTCACACTTCATTCACCACCATTCTCACGACTATACTGTTATTTATCTGGTTCCACTAACTGGCTAGTTTGGGCGGTGTTAATGATGGCGTTGCCACCAGGTTGGTCGAACCAGGCTAGCGAGTGGGCGTCAGTGGGGCCAGAATTCAGGTCCGGCAGGATCGGTGGCCACACGTCAATACCGAGTGTTATTTCTAACCCAAACCACTGGAAGAGAGCTTGACGTTGTTCAAGCGGCCCAACTAACTGGTTCCCTAGAAGTTCGACTATTTCTCAGATACTCGATAGAGAGAGCAAAATTACCCACAGTACTTGTATGTCAAATACTTGAGAATTAACATGACTATTCCTCTGGAAATAGAATCTTATTACTGTGTTCAAGGACAGTACTGAAGGATTGAATCTGAATATCAACACATTTAATCTTCTGTTGCCTACCCGCGAAAATTTTTCCCTTCTAAACCAAGTTGAATGATGATATGCATTTTCCCCATTGTGGTTTGTCAAGCATTTAAACCCTCAATATACCACATTACAAACTGTTGAATGGCCGAGCCTGAGGATAGAACTTTACACAGAAGTGCAGATTTCCGGTGGACACGCTCCATGCACCACACAAATGTAGAGGAAAGACATTCACAGGAACTGTAGTGGGCAAAACTGTGAGACAGAAACTACAGGAACATGGAGAAACACAGGGGTCCAGTGGGTAAGGGAGATCACAGAGTGGATGAACCTGACAGTTGCCTTTGACCATATCATGGATATTCCACAGCCATCGATTCGTAACATCCAGATAACCCTAACCACGTAGCCTACACCTCCCTACCTGAACTGAGGCGGTAATCAAAGACTTCATGGTGTGATTGCAGGTAGCTCCTTTCGAGCCCAATTTTATCCTGGATGCTAACTCTCGACGGAGAAAGCGATGATTTAGGTTGAGCAACACGAGTCCCAGCCATCTTAATCTGTGCAGCTTCACAACCTCAAGGAGTAACTTGCCCTCCTCAACTAACACTCTACGCCTTATCTCAATATAACTCACGTTATTATGCCTCTTGAAAAGGCGGATAGAATGCTGCTATCTGCTGTCAAAAACAAGTGACCTTTTCCAAGATTGTTTTATTTGTACTGTACCATTCGACTTTGTTTGAGCGAGTAGCGGTCATCCTTACGCTTGTACAATCGCGGGAGATCCCTGTGTGGTGTTCTTGAAAGTCGGGGTTTTTCACGTGAGGTATGCGAGAATATTTTGTCGGTTTCAGAGTGCTTTTCTTTTACTTAGCAACATGCATGGTGACTCTAAGCTATGTCAGCCCAAAACGAAACTACCTCTAGCGACCAATCAGATAGATCATAAGTGGAAGTGCGTATCATAATATAAATATCATTTCGAATAGAAGTCTATACACAAGTGATGTCATGTTAAAGAAGTACACAGAATAATATTCTTGTATAAATTCCGAAGCAACCTCTTGATTTCTCACAGGAGTCCTCATAGTCAGGTTAAGTGAATTCCTGTAAATATATTCCCCAAAGTCATCAATCCGTTCATTGAGTAGTTTCGTTTTTGGCTGTTGTAGTTTAGATTCACCACATACATCAGCTGTATAGGTGCCTGACAGAAGTGTTGAGGTAATTTTGAGTTTTTGATGTTATTGCTCATTAGTCGGATCGCGAATTCTCCGAAGAATAATCACCGACTTCCTTATTTAGGGCGTTTTGTGACTGTCTCAAGGAAGTTTCGTCATCTATACAGTTGGACGCAGACATCGGCTTCCTATGCTTAGACCACAACGAGTGGGGTTCGATTGTTGCATAGTGTGATATGCGCCACATAGGGTGAGGGTGTAGGCCACGTGGTTAGGGTTATCTGGATGTTAAGAATCGATGGCTGGAGAATATCCATGATATGGTCAAAGGTAACTGTCAGGCTCATCCACTCTGTGATCTCCTTTACCCACTGGACCCCTGTGTTTCTCCATGTTCCTGTAGTTTCTGTCTCACAGTTTTGCCCACTACAGTTCCTGTGAATGTCTTTCCTCTACATTTGTGTGGTGCATGGAGCGTGTCCACCGGAAATCTGCACTTCTGTGCAAATTTCTATGTCCAGACTCAGTGAAAGATTAATAATCTGATGAATTTTAACTGTTATTAGATTGAGTATTGACCAAATGGAACATGTGAGATTGATATCAGGATTACTAGTGAACAATTAAAAAAGAGGCTGAGTTGATGTTTTGTACATGCAGATTTCCGGGTTGTATTGATGCATTGCTATCACCTCCATCATAGACATATGTCAAAACCCAACACCTGTTGTACCCTTCGGCCTCTGCAAGGTTGGTGTTTCTGTAGTTGTTTCACCAGAGGTTTTGTAAACGCGGAAAATCCGTTGTCTACTGAGAGAAGACATTATTCGAATTTGTGTGTGTGTGTTTGTGTAGCAAGATGCTTAGGTCTCGCCTAGCAATCCGACACAGTCCTGGAAAGTTACTGATGAATTTCAGATAGCAAGTGTCTGTTCATGATAGTAGATATAATAGTGTGATTATGAGGCATTAAAATCTCAGTATCGTTACGTCTCTGTACATTACTGAGTTGTAAAGATGTTTATTGTCACAAGGCGGAGTATAATGGTAGGAATATAGTAATACTAGTAACTTTTAGTTCTTGAGACGGTTACGATACATATTGTGTGTTAATTTTAAAGTTAATTGTCTGCAACCCAGTGTCCTTTAGACGATCGGCATTATTTTTTGACCGTAATAAGTGTGTCCAGTAGCATGTTTTCATAAATAACTCGTGTGTTTTGCTCGTTTCTAGTGTACATTATCGTCTTCCCTCTAGACGCTTTAAAAAATACATTCTGGCCTTTTGGGCAGTTTCATGTAGTATTCGTCGGCGAAATTTGGCGGCACAGATAAAAGTCATTCCTCTGGCATAAGAAATTTCGAGAGGCGCCGCCAGCTTTTTGTTGTACAGTCCGATGTACTTGATGCCCATGGCTATTTTCAGTTTTATCCTCATTTAAAGGAGAACGACTAAAATCAAAGTGAACTGATATGTCATCCTTTGATCTATTTACTAATTAATTATTAATTTGCTGACGCCAACACCTTTCTTGGTCAACAGCATGACCTTTGTTTTTAAACAAGGAAAGACGAAAGTGATTTTGCGATTCAGCAACGACTTCCAAATTTTCTTCGTCAATATACAAAGTTGTATTCCATTGTTTGCATAGGGAATCCTGTTCCGTCTTGTTTCAGTTCAAGTTTGTTGCAGCTATGACATTCAAACCCCATTATCAAAAGGTTGTTGTGGTGCTCTGTTTGACCAAACTAGCGTACACGTATATCCTAGTACTTCGCGTTTATTATTGTGTCCTAACGGTAGATGGTGTTTTCGAGTTGTTATTCATTACTTGGCAAAGTCCGAGTTGTTTTGTCTCCACTTGAGAGTAATTAATCACTTGTAAAGTATGAGTGGGTTTTGTTGGCGTAAACAGCAGTTGGCTCCGAGTTCAGACGTATTTCCATCGATTTTTATCTTCGGATAATGCCATCAGTCTTCGTATAATAAGTGTCTCTCATTGATACACATAAAACTGTATCTGTCAACTGATAGTTGAATTTGATTAGCAGTTTAATGTTGTTGTGCAGGCTTCCATTTGAAAACAGATAAGAGAAATAGGCAAATGATGAGGCAATACTCATATGGAAGATGAATAATCTGTGTAGTTACTTTGGCAGTATATGGCGTTTACTTCTCGTGGTATTTGCATTTTTTTCAGATGGCTCGCCGCGAACAACAGTCAGAACAAGGCTGTCCTCGAACCAGGAGTAAGTTGTCAAAGTCTGGTGACGTAAGTCTCCTCCATTTGAGTTAAAAATGCTTTTGTATACTCTTAAATTATATGAGCAGTTGGTAGAAGTAAAAAAAATGTCCTGTGCAGTGGTTTATTTCGAGTAGTACATTGCATGTGTACTTGACGTTTTTAGGTCTGAAGCATCCGGTATTGTCATGTTATATTGCGTAATTGCTAACTAAGACAGTTAAGACACCTTGCCCTCAGTTTGAACAAGATATGCATCATCTACGATGATTGGAGTGATCGCCGTAGAATGAGTATGCTGTAGAGTGATGGATTGTCGGTTAGAGTTTTTGTTGTATTCATAATGTATTGTCATGACTAGAGCTGACTGAATTTTGTGGCGAGAATTGTGGTCAATTTTACAACAAGCCACTACTAGTTTTCAAGTTTATTTTCATGACGTTTGTGAATGAAGTTGGTTACAGATAACAAGTGACATTGTCTACTTGTGCGTAGCATGATACTTGCGAATAACAATTTGACTTATGTCTGTTCAATTATACGCTTCTATTTGTAATCACACTGTTTGTCCAGAAGTATTTCACTTTGGCTTTTTTCACATTTCATAGGACAATGTTCTAGGTGTATCAATGGAACGTCTTCAATCTTTACGTTCATACTCATTGAGGAAGACACCCATCACAGCCAACACTGATGTAAGTGGTAGTCCTTGTAAACTGCTGATATTTCAATAACTTATCGCTTCATCAAAATTTTTAATCCCATATGCATCATCTATCAACTATTTGAAATTTTTGATGTGCTTTTGGTTTTTCTCTTTTCTTCCTCTGACGAAATGCAATATTCAGTTTGGTGATAGCCATTATCTCATCCTTTGTGTACGGTTATTTCTAGACAATTTCAGGGCTTGTAGAGAATAAATCAAAACGAGCCAAAATTCCACAAAACACCAGCCCTATTCGGTTGCGCGACCTGCCGAACAGAAGAAGTCTGGTTGGAAATTCTGATGAGGATAACCAAATGGGTGGTGCTAACAGTTCCAACAAAAAGGCGTCTAATTCTACAGGAGCATACGAAAAGAATGGTGGAATGTCTTCTATCGCCTCACCTGGTTGTAGTCATCGTCCTACTTCGATAACCGCTTCCAATAATGCAAATTCCGATCATTGCAGTGGAAATATTAGTGGACGGTAACTTTTCTCAGTGTACATTTAATATGTTCTTGCTGTGAGGAGGTCGAGTTATCTGGTTCCCAACTTGTGATAGAGTGAAGTATAAAACAATACGGTCTATACACTGGTCTATTTTACCTATATGTGAAGAATGGCTGATACATGTGGGAAGTCTGTATAGGTTGTAGACATTTGATTGGTATCTGTGATTCAGGCATCAACTAGGAAAGGTGTTGTTAAGTAAAACAGATGAAGCAGTTAAGGATGATGTGATACATCCTATGAATTATTCTATATATGGCATTAATTGTTTTGCCACTTCACATTTAACTATGATTACAATCACAAACATTTTAATTGCATTTCGTCCTATTAATATATTATTATGCATTGACAGCTATGATTCAATTCTCTCACCGGATATAATTTCTTCAAAGCCATATATGCGCGGTTGGTTGTACAGCTTGATAATAAATTCGTTGTTGAAAAGAGTCTCTTCGCTGACTGACTTGTTTCGGTTGTTTTATATGCCCCAATGGGTATTTTCCATGATAGACATCTATCATGTGATGTAGCTTGGGTGTGCCTACTAACCACTTACTTCGACGTAGTGTATTAAATGAAGTAGGATTAAACTGGTGGGGTGGCTGAGGTGGCTACACCTAGATGTGATGGAAGTCCATTCAGTACTTGACAGCTAATGTATGCGGTTTATGGAAGAGTAGATTGCGTGGTCGGAATCCACATGGTTACCTCCTCAAACCATGCCTTGGAATTACTCGCAATAGCGCTGATGTGTTCATACTTTATTTTTCCTTGTAATATAATATTTCCTGTCTGGATATTCACGATGCGTTTTTTCTACCACATACTGTCTTCTTCTTATCCATGGTTTTATTTTGCTGCACTTTATTCGCTCTTATTGCCTGTTACTCGATATGGTGATATGGGGTATGTACGATGACTGTTATACAGTAGTGATAGATGTTGAACTGTTATAGTCCTACATGTATTGTTAGATATCTAGGTGTACTAAAGCTTATCTGAGGTGGGAAGATTCTTTCTACTGATGACAGGTGTTGGTGGTGAGAAATTTATGCTTTTTATGAGCATGTATATGCATACTGGTGAGTCATTGTTGAGTTATTGACCCAGCGGACTGAAGTAGTAGCATGTTTTGTAATCCCATGAAGATGGAAACTGCGAAGTTGGAAAGAATCAGATAATATCAAATTTAGGTTTATTTATCTTGGTCAGTTGGTATGTGGTCTGTTTTCTAGCGATTAGTGAGCCAGCCACATTGAATAGCGTTATATTTTTATTGTCAGGTGCGCCGAATATGCAGGTGTAATATCTACTTGAAGATAGTTTTTATCACTGGAAGTGACGCTGGCCAGTTACGTTTGAGGTTGATGGAACAATGATTTATGAGTCTGGTATTGATTGACTTTAGACTTGTCAAATGATAACTGATATAGGGATGAGTTTAAATGCTTAGTCTATCCAGTGTTTATTTCTGCTTTGATGTGAACATGACTCGAAATCATGTATCTTGATGAATTAGAATGTATGCGCTACACCTATTGTACAAATGCTAATGCTACTAATTTGCTGTCCATATGTTGGTAAATAGAGTATAGAGATGTAGCTCATTGGCTTATTGGCACAGCTTCATCTTGGGTAACTGGATATTATCTTCAGCGCTCACACACACACACACACACGCATACACACGGTGGATGTGATTGTCAGCCTGGTACACAACAAATCTGTCCTAAGTAACTAAGTTTCCACTAACTGAATGTAGTTGAGTTTAAAGACATGACCAACTTGATAATCAGCTTTCACTCAAGTGTGTTATGGTACATTTGTTATTTGTCTTTCTTTCCAATGATAAATGACTGTAATTCACTGTTTGCAGAAAAGCTGTTGCGAAAAGGAATTCGGGAAAAGAATCTTTCAAGTCCGAGAGCATTGATAAACACGCTACTTGCAGCTCTCCGAAGAAATCGCGAACACAGACTGTGAAGGCAAAACGAAGGTTGTTAGTCGCTGCAGTTAGTCCAGTAGTTCCCACCAAAGGTATGTATTGATTCACATAATTTTCACTTTGATTTCGAAAGAATACATTTTCGGTTGAGTCCATGAACGAAGGTATCATGTGCAGTACTGTTTCTGTGATATGTTAAGTATCTTTTGTTTTCTGCTGACTAGTAAAGTAATTTAGTTACAGTGGTGTGTATGAGTGTGTGTTTTGTCATATTACTTCAGTATGGAAACTGTCTTATCAAATTGATAAGTTGTGTTGTGAGAAATGTGCTTTTTTCCATTAAGCATTTTTGCAATAATCATGATGAAATGTTCAGTGTAGGTTTATGATGGGTTTAGCCCAGATGTGCTTAAGGAGTGAAGTGATGATGAAGTGTTGTTTGGGTTAACTAGGATATTAAGGGGTTTCTGTGAATCAGAGATGGATCCGTGGAACTGGTGTAAATGATTGATTATGGGAGTGTATAAAAAAGGAGTCAAGTCTTCGTGTGATAATCACGGGGGCTCACCTTAACACACCGTCATAACAGTTGGTTAACCCTGACCCATGTAAAAAGATGGAAATCTGGAGGGAATTCTGTTTACTTAAGTGGGATATGAAATAGCACGCTTACAGTCAATCTGCTACTCTTCATAGAGAAGAAGTTTGGACTGGTCAGGTAAATCATTGGATTGTTCAAGAACGCATGGAGAAATGGAAGTGTCTCATCAATGTGGAATGAAGTCAGTTTTGGTAAAATGTCTACGTTAGCACTTTTGACAGTTGTGAGGGTATTATTTTGTTACCGCCCACATCAAAAGTACTGACAGACTGAGTTTTGTTCGTCACCTAGATGCAGTAGTGAAGTGTTCACCCTCTGCAAATTGTTAGAACATATTACTTGTACTGCAGACCAACAATTATCGCATTTTCTTCAATTAGTAGTTCAAGACTGTTCTTCGCAAATGTGTAGGAGAGAGACATGTTTCTAAGATATTCGTGAATATTTTTGGATCTCACAAAGAATATACCTTGGGTAGACGGGAAGCACATAAACACCTGTCTGCAGTATATATGCGTTTCTTGTTGCCCGGTAGTGAGTAAGTGATTCGTAAGGAACCAACATTTTTAACATTCATTCATCGGTTCTATGAAGTCAATGTTTGTTAACTTGTTTAGTCGACGTTTTCTTATCCGTTAACTTCAGTGATAAGGGAGGTATATTCTCTGACACGCTTTTACATTTTGGAAAGCTTTCATGATACCTGATGTGAGTGAGTTGTGTAGCAGTCTCTATGGTGACTTGGTCACATGGTATCACTAATATGTTAAAAGTGGCTCCCATCCACTTTCCGACATATTTTGTATTTTAGAATTCTAATAAACTTCAAATATTTCCAGCCACTGGTTTCCACACAACTTGGTTTACACTTCTATCGTATCGGTTTCTTATTCTCGTTTATTGAATATAAAGTTACTGGGAAGAAACTTTATTTGTATTACGCCGTTATCATGCAAATAGTCATTCAACGGGGATTCTAATTTTCTTGCAAAATCAAACACACATGCTAACACTGTTAATTTTAACCATTTTTATATGTTGAACGATTGTGAAGAGACTTGTAATCCGAATAGAAAACGGACTTCACAAGCTAGTCAATCTTCATCCAAATCATCAAAGAGAGAGCAACTTAATAGCAACACAATGAATTCAACTGCAAATATTGGAACTGTTGGAACTTCACAACAAACAGAACCTAAAGTACATTCCTGGTTAAGCGGAATAACTATCCCCAGAAAATTTCCCTCCATTGAACAACCACGATTCACTTGTTCTGCCCATGACTTTCTTCTTAAAAATGGATTTCGATTATAAACGGACCAAACATCCTTCAACTACACAGCTATGTAACAGGCTCAGGGTAAGCTCTTGTCCGTTGTTACGTCCTCAACTTTTGTCATTCATCTCTTCTCTGTTGTTTGTAAACAAAGTGATTATTTTATTATACTATCGACTGAAACATATTCGTATCCGTTTAGAGGTTCTGAACTAGCTGTTGATTTTCGAACTCGAATTTTAACCGTCCTACCACAGCTTTCATACTTGAGCTTGATTTCTTAAGGTTGAACAAAATCACTAGACACTGACGGCAGCGGGAGTCATCTTGATGAAACATGTGATTATCTCCTGTCGACTGCAACTGTGGAAACAGTGATACCAACAGTTGAAGTCCTGCACTCTAAAGATTTTAGAAGTTTCATTGAGACTGTTGGATGTGTGACTGATTCCGGCTGAACATGAAAAGGAGTGAGAACTGTGTGAAACTGAGCTGACTCAAAGTTTTTGTTTTGTAATGTCTGTCTTTGAGTAATGGTAGATGACGAGAAGGAAGGAAGTGGAGACTGTGTGAGCAATATGTGGTCACTGTCTGCTATGTAGACTTAGTAAGAAGACGAGTTTCCGAGAGATTCTGGTAGGTTAAAGGGTCTCCAAGATGAACAGGCAGCTTGAGGAGGAGTAGTTTCGATGGCCATGAGTTGCAGTACGATTGGCTACCATTCAACTCCGGTTTGTATGGGGTGTGAGCACCAGTCTTTCGGTTTCTTCTGGAGTTGTGAAACCTGTTTGTATTTTGATGTAAAACAGATTGGCCTTATTTAGGACTTGAAGTCTGGAATTATTTCGGCCAGAATAACGAAACTTGTTTAGTGTATGGAAATCAACGGTAACTGCATCAGCCTGGTGCGCATCATTATTTTATTAACCTTGTAAATTTAGAAAGAAAGGGACCAATTCTGTTTTGATAAGACCATAGGCTGACTGACTTGACTAATATACCGTTCAAGATTCATGGTCATTCCGAATCTGTTTGAGTCTGAAAAGCATCAAATGCGTGGAGAGCTTAGGTAGTTTTCTGGCCTGAGTTGTAAATGAAGGTGACTTACTGGTGTCTGAGAATCGCTACATTTCTTGACCTGAAATCAGCATTCAACTCCGTTGATTGTGTGGTGTGGTGTGGTGTGGTGATGTATGTGTGAGGGAAGTGTAGAGATTGTTATCATACAAGCTGAATAGTGTGCGATAGTTTAATTTCCACCAATTACTAATAGGATTTTGAATGTGGTGCATGATTAAAGACGTCCGAAACGTATAATTCTCTCGTTTAATGCAGTAAACTGTCTGCCTATGTGACTTGCTTTGTTTTCATTCATCTATTGACAGTGCTTTGCTTACACAACATATCGTCGTTGTGCTCCTCTGAGATTTATTAATGTACTTAATGGACTGTTTGTTTTTCAACTCAATTTATTGATGTGCAACAAGGGAGAGTTGTCGATGAAATGACTGACATTTTAATATTTCATCCTCAACTTTGAATTATTTTCGTGTCGCGTCACTATCGTGTTGTGTTACCTTCAGAGATGTGAACATGTTTACTCTAGAATCTGGTTTCATTGAGTAAAAATACTTTTGTATTACTTTGGTTGGTTGAAAGTTTGCGAAATAAACTGATAAGTCAATATATGTATATATTCATAAAATTGAGGAGTTAGATGGAAGATGTATTCAAATAGAGACTGATCATAGTGACATAGAATCATCAACTTGACATACATTTTCCTTTCTCATACATGGTGCGTTAGTATAGTGTACATTTCGTGGATTCCATGCCATGGTTTATGAGAATTCGGATAGACTTGGAGTAGTAGTACTAGTAGTAGTATTAGTAGGTGGTGGTGGGGAGAAGAAATGATCTTGAAGTGTTGTGACATTTAATCCACTTAAATGGTTGAGATATATGTTTTGTGGACGTCTGTGTAGTATGAATCACTATTATTATGCGACTGCATTATTTTATGTTAATACTGTTGTAGATGACATCAAGTGTATTCTATGACAAGCCTTTGAGATAGATCCCTTGTTTTCATTCTTATAAATTAAGAATGGAATTTTGACTGTTTAACGTCGATAACCGTCTATCTGTCTAACGGGTTGAAGATCCCTTACATGTCGTCTATAGATATCTGTCTGCTAATTGCTTTTTCTAATTTTAGAGGAAATTGAATTGAACGCACAAAGTTAACATGAACTTGTACAATGTAACAGAATCGTGCTGAAAGTTAATCATTGTTGTTTGATATTTATGAATGTGTTGCGATTTACTGATTTCTTGTAGTATATGACTTTATTCGATTTTTGAGAATTTCATTTTTCTAAAGCTTCCTTCCTTTCCAGCCAGCATATATATATATTATATATATATACATATATTGAAGGCAATCTAGCACCGTAATACATCCAAGATTGTTCTTTGTTGAAGTGTAGTATCAGTGTGTTTTTCCTATTTCCGAATAAGGAAATCATAGGCTGACTATTCTTGTATGTTGGTCGTGCTATGGTGGTAAGCAACATGTCAGCAAGAAGCTCAATCAATGGAAATAGTGCAAAATAACTCACATGTGAAATTTCTTTTTATGATTCACATAAGTTTACTTGTTCAGGTTCAACAGGTTTCTTTTCGTTGAGGTTTCATGATACCGAAGTAAAGTCCGTTGGCAGCCGTTTGTTTTCTTTTTGCATTAGGACGCTATCTGTCCACAGATGAGGACCTGAAAGGTGTTGAGTGGATGAGGAGCAGCAGGTAATGATTTCCTATGTACATCAGAAACTCTCAGCACCAATATATATGCACTGTCGGCGGTATTTGTGACTTCCGTTGTTTTATGAGATGTTTAGAATTCGCGTTATTTGAACCGATTAGTTTGTGTAAAACATAGTACATCTCTGATGAGCTCCTCTGAAACGTGCGTAATGACCATCTGATGTTTGCGTCACTTCAAGATGAGCACATTCCAGAAGGCCAGGTAGTCATGGGACTCCGATTGAGGTTGGATTGATCATGTGTCCACCCTTTGATAAGTTTGTGAACGTTGACAATAAACTCACGGTGTCAAACATTTGCTATATTTTAGGAAATAAGACTGGTATATGAGTATGAAAGTGATTTTCGCAGTGATCATTGTAAAGGTATTTTTTTATAAAGCCCTTTGTATTGATTTTTAAAGTTGATCGCTTTATTATAGCTTAGTGTGTCCGTGTATTTATTTGTAACGATGATTTACTATGGTTTCTTTTGTGTCTTTCGACGGGAAAACCCAATGATAATTTAACTTTCGTGCATTCTGTTTTTGGAATTGATCAAACACACACACACACTTCGTAACGCACCAATAGTAATTGGCCGTCGAATTTCAGATCGCTCTCGGATGGATTCGAAGTCATTCTGTAAACTGACTATTAAACTTTGAATGGTACTGAAAAAGCGGGTTGTATTTGTCATCACAATTTCCGTTTTTCACTTTATAGATTATTAATATTCTTAATAGTATTGTATTGTATTATATATTCGCAGTATTCATTTTCACGTCTCTTCATGTTTGGATTCAATCGGAATCCCCTGTTGAAATTGTTCCCACTCTTAGTTTTTTTTTTTGTTTGATAAAATATACATTTGTTATATTGAGTAAATCTTATGTTGTCTACTGGTGGAAAATTATTCACGATCATGCTCTTAGTGTGTTGAAAGACTTCAGTAAACGAATGAATCCAGTGATAAATAGGCATTATTAATTTTCACTTCAGTCATTGTCAGGAAATCAACGCCCGGTTAGTAGGTTGAGTCCTACAGCTGAGCTGGTGAAGACTGAGGCCATCCATAATTCTGAGTACTTCTCGTGTATACATAATGCTGCTAGCCATATTTTCATGGCAATTCCATTGCTTTCCAATAGTTACTAATATCCAGTGTCAGTGTGCTTATTTTTTGATTTTAGCAAGGACGTATTGGTCAAGGTAACATGGTTTGACTTCAACGTCTGGTTTATTTAGGTGATAGAAGCGTTCTAGACGTGGACAAAGTATAGTCTTCTACAGGTCCTCCACAAATATTGGTGTATGTTTTCGAAGCAATGCAACATCACTGAACGTTAGCTTATACGTGGAGCGTAGACGGCTGGTCGACGTATTTACAACGTCGACAGACTTTCAAGGTGACTTACTGAGTTCAAATAAAAATCTAGGGTTGGTAGTGTAATCAGTTAGTTGCTGGTAGGATTGTTTGGGATAAGATAAATTGTTGTAATTTCTTGAGAAGAACTTAGCATCAGTTAATATTACTGTATAACACCACTGTGTGATTTATCAAAATAAAATCTTATGCATAATGGAGTTATACTCTACCACAGTGTCCAAGTTTTATACTTATATCAAAAACTTAGCATTGTAACTGGTTTGATCAATGTGGTGTTGGCGGATTTCATCTTGCATTTTTGCGACATGATTAGTACAGGAAAATGTCACACGGGAGGTGTGTCAGGATAGATATTTTGTCATATGATAGATATTACCACCTGTGTCAGTCCTGTGGAAGGCAGGATTGTGAAATAAAAGTACACTTAGGTATTTCCCTAATTTCAGGATTGTCTGTTTTAGGACAAATATTTGTTTCTTATAAATGGACTTCGTTTGGCGTTTGTTTAGATGGACTGCAGAGCCTTAGGTTTGTGAATTGAGTCCACTAATGAGGTTGTGTAAGTAAATCCACATCATTGGAGGTGGCCAAGCCGTCGTCTTCGGCGAGAGGCTATGTCAGGATGTCGGAAGTGGTCAGAACGACGATCGAATTTAGCTTATGTAGAAGGCAGGCGTTCGCTCGGGATGGTGTGGATGAGTGGCTGGAAACTCTTAGTGACAAAATGTCAGTGATTTCGTGCATGTAATGTGCGAGAGATATCGAGGTTGTCAACAAAGAATCCGAATGTTGGTTAGGAAACTGGTTTCTCAGTTGTTATCTTGTATTCATCCAAAGGTGTGAC